TTTTTTTGAAGTCGGTTAATAAAGAATGCACGCTAAGTATTACAGTCCTTCGCCCACTGCAAAAACTCGCCCATTTCACTAACAGTTAAATTACGCGCCAATGCTTTAACGCGCAAATTGCGATCTGTTGTGACTAGCACCAATTCGGTTTGTATAAAACATTTGCCATCTATAACAAAATTTTGTGGAAATAGGATTAAACCATTGGTAGGCTACAGGTTTTTGTGAACTTTACCTTTGTTAGTTTCTGTACTCATGCTTTTTGAAAGTGCCACAGCAGTTGCCAAAATTTTATCATCATTCGAAACATTTTCCTCTTCGGCTAATGCAAATAACGATGCGTTAATAAATGACCCCTTCGTTGTGGCGCACCTGTACACGAATTTATTTATATAATTTATTAATTGTAGCAATAAAAATTGTTATTATCGTACTTGATGTTATTTTTTGCACTCCTTATGAAATCCAGCGAACGCTTAGCGCAAGTGGAAACGTCATCATAATGATGTATACGATGCATTTGTAAAGAGTTTTGGTTTGATTCTACTTTTACGCCCTTTGAGAGGCCATCTAATTCTTTCACAACTACAAAATAGAGGCAAAATTATTTTGCTGCGGCTCGAATTTTGAATAAGCAAAAGCCTTACCTGTGAGCGGAATAACAAGTATGTAACGTTTGTAATCCCGAATAAGTTTTTTAAAGTCATCGAGGCAATCAATAAAACAATTTGTGTCCGGCATAAGATATCTTGGACGCACTTCTATGTATAGTTTTGTATCTACAAATTTTAGAATTTCCTGCCCAGCAAAGAAAAATCAAAGATTATAATAATATATCAAGGAGAAGTTTCCACTTTCCCAACGACAACTTACTTCCAGTTTTGCATTGTACATTTTTTTCACATTCTTTCTGGCTTCAAGTTCCTTCCTCCTCTTCGATAGTAATGAGATTTGCGCATCTTGAATACAGGCGGTTTTCGCTGATTTGGTGTCCTTAAATGGTTCTTCTGTATTTGTGCCATTTACCGAAATGTTTTCACTGTTATCTTCTTCATCACTGTGCAAATTACATAGCGCATGCTTCATTGCGCCGTTCAGCTCTTCCAATGTAAACGAATTTTCGCGTACTAGCAGCCTTGATTGATTCCTTTCATAGCATTCTTGAAAATCGAGAATTTTCGTAATACGTGCATAAAATTGTTCACACTCGGTAGCAGATTCTTTGTCAATTTGTTTGTTAATATTAATGGCGCCCGAGGTAGTCACCAAAGGCGTAAATCCAAGTAAGGAAATCTCTTCTTCAAGTTGAATATGTTGTGTAATATTTACGGGTGCAGCATCGAGTAAACGTCTGAGATATGGGTAAAAACATTCCCATTCTGTCCAGGTCTCAATTATGACATGGCTTTAATTTAATATAGATACAAATTAACGTGAAAGGCATTACATAGTTTTTTTCTGATACTAACTCTTCATTACGCACACATTCCCAAATGTCCACATTACGCGCCAACCAGCCAGTATATATATTTATGTATTGTAATAAAGTATTTATGTCGGCAAAGCTAAAGTACATTTTATTTGTTATAAGAGCGCAATGCAAACTCATCACAGATATAGCATACCAAGTTTGCTCGGGATACAGCACGTTGAAATTGGATGTTTCAATTATTTCATTACATTTTCGCAACAAAAGGCCGAATATTTGATTACAAAAATTAAATGCGTAATATCGAATTTCTCGCCGAGGTTCTAATCGAATTTGTAAAACCTCAGTTAGTTGATATATTTTATGGAAAATTAAGTAAGGACTAACCTTTGTGCATGTTTTGCTCGAGCTGGAAAATATTTAAGGCGACTATACGCAGTAGGCGTGAGCGTTTAATCGGAAATGAGTTGTGCTTAAGCAAAACACTCAATTGGGCCAATAGCTTTCGTTGATGCTCAACTATGGTCTCCATTCTGTTTATTAAAAATATCGCATTAAAAAATTTACACGCTGTTTATTTAGTATTTACCCTATGCCAGTGTAGAGTTTTCCAATTACATATAGGTAGAGTGATGTGAACCGGCGTGATAGCTAAAATAGAAAATAGTTATTGTAAAGAATATTTTCTAACCCTTACATCATACCTCTTCGCCTGTTAACTCGTTTAAGCGCCTCTCTTCATTTATTACAGCATATTTACTTCTAGTATCATCAGATTCAGAAGAACGATGCAAACGGCGAACGCCATCTACGTGTATCCAAACTTCTTTACGCATCGATTTGGAAATATTTTTACTGTGCCTTGGACTACATTGATGTACCGGTGATGCCTTTAATTCATTTTCTTCATACTAAAATCATTGTTTATGTTCAATTTATGTTTTAAACGTGTATTCAATTTTAATTTACCTTCTTACGAATCTCATCAAACAATACTAAAAGGCTTTCGCGTGCTGAATAAATTGCATTGGAGGCCATTAAGCTACGCATGTGAAAATAAATTGCATCGAATTTTTTGCGCTAAAAAATGTTTAAAATATTTTTAGAAACAAGTATTCAATGTTAACATTTTTAGTTTAAAAGATTATTTACCGCTTGTATGGCTACAATGGCCATTTGATTGTATGGTATGCCATTGGATGGTATCAACGCTTGGGCCTGCTGATAATACTTGGCCGCACCGGTGTAATCATTCGACTGCAATTCCTTTGCTTTGTAGCGACATAGGTCACCAAGGCATATAAGTAACTTTTGGGCGGCCACTTTGGCTATGAATTCAAATTTGTGCGTTGTGCAATGTGGTGGTGCTTTGCTTTGATGTATATTAATGGCATGTTGCAGAGCGGGATTTATATATTTTGAATTAAGTTGCATATTCAAGTTAGTGTAGAAGTCTAAACCCTCGTCAATAAGTGAGAGCAATCGGGGATGTATATCAGGAGTGGCTTTGCAATTTGTTGCAAAATATTCACGAATATTATAGTAAAGCAATTTCCAGAAAAACGAGTCTATCTTCTGCTCACAGCACAATTTTAGTTGTTGCAGCAACAGTTTAGCGAATATGATTTGAAGTTCCCTACGCGCCTCACTAAACTCAGTCCATTTCTAAATTAAAGTAAAAATTAATGAAAGCACGTTATGTGCCCTACTCTACCGCTTTCTTACCTCGATCACTGTATTTTGCTGCAGCAACGATGTTACAGTTTCGTAAGATTTATGAAGTGATTCGATGCACTGAGTATCAGCAAGCATTTCAAACCAAAGCGGTGGCATCGGTTTACGTTGTAACTGACGTGAAGGCGACTTTGTAAGGATCTTATCGGCATTCACTGGCTGATCACTTAGTTGTCGTATACGCGCCATCATTTTCTTGCCATTTTCTCGAGCCACGCTTTTCTCTATCATACCTTTAGCCTTTTCGCCAGCCAATAATTGCGCTTGTTTCAAGTCATTTAAGCGCAAAATTCCCGGAATTGTACTATTTTCATTACTTAGGTTGCCACCCATGGTGCATCTCATTGCAGCTGCGTTATTTTCTGTCATTTTCCCGCTGGATTCCAAAACGGGCACAGTGTCTTTTTTAACGAGGTTTTTATCTAACCTACTCAAAGCAGATGTAGTTTTCTTCAAGAAAAAGTCAATGCTTGTTGCAGCTTCTTTACCTATCCCTTAAATTACAAAATTGATAATGAAATCAAATATTAATTCCGAAATTATGGTACATATACCCATTTCCACAGATTTCTGAGGGACGCTTCCCGATGTTTCTTGCTTATACAGCAAACTCCCAGGCAACATATCATTATCATTTCTTCTCGCAACGCCGCTACTTGAAGGTGAAGGTCGTCCGCCAGCATTTTGACTATCAACGTCAACAACTGTTACCAACGAGTCATCGCCAACATCTTCAACGATCCTCCTTTGCAGTCGCTTTGGTAAATTCCGTATTATCGATATATCATTTTGTTCTCGCGCTTCCTTTCGATTCATATTTTAATTTAAAGCTTTCCACCAACCACTGCATTTATTTTGGTTTTATTTGCGC